CCCCCCCCCCCCCCCCCCCCTTTAAGTCCAAAGAGGGTCACCAGCACAAAATGGTTGAGAAACACTGCTAAAGAAGATGGTGATTTTGAACAAGTAAAGTATAGAACATTAATACAAGTGTTCTTTCTTAAGAATGGACTGAAAAGACCTGTGTTATTCTCCATCCTAAACCATCGCGTTCTCCTTTAGAAATATATGTATACATTTTTCAGCTATTTAGCTAGTGAAAAACTCTTCTTTTATGCATTATCCAATGCAGGTTTTCCCCATCCCGCAACTATATTTTTATGCATTCTTTAAACTTTAACATGCAACTTAAACAAAATAAAAACAGACCAGGGTTACAAGGGTATGCTACACAGCAATTAAACACTTGCGGCTGGCCCACGTCAGCTGACTCAAGCTCGGGTTGTGAGGCTATAAAAGTGTAGTGTAGATGTCCGGGCACAGGCTAGTGCCCAGGCTCTGGGACCCTCCCCCGTCACAGGATCTGGAACCCAGGCTCCAGCCTGAGCCCAAACATCTACACTGCAATTAAACAGCTCGAAAGCCTGAGCCCAAGTCAGCTGACATAGGCCAGCTGCGAGTGCTTAATTGGTGTTTAGACAGACACTAGGAGTCCCATGCTTACAAAAGTTCAAAAAAAGTAAGCAACCTTGTCACAGAAGTCTATTAACATACCATATCCACAAAAATAAATAAATGAATAAATAAATACAATCTTAATTCAATGTCAAGATCAAAACATACTCACATTGAATCATCATATATGCAGTAATAGATGCACAAGTAATCAATTTGCCACCAACTACCTCAACTATTCATAGTCAACTAACAAATGATTCTCCAGTACATCCTCATCAGAATCTACATCACCTTTTATCCAAGCTTCCATTTGACCTAAATTGTAGAAATATGATTTTGTAATCACTGATTAATCTTTATCTTCATCATCATCTACTGCAGTTAAAGTGGTAGGAATCCATTACCATCAGGTTTGCAGATGATCAAAAGAGGTCATATGAAGTATTTCAGACAGTAATTTTAATATGTAACTTTAAAAAAAAAAAAAACTTTCTTGCACATGGCTGAAAGTTTCGAAGGACTACTGCCAGTTTGCCAGAAAGACTTCAGCTGAGTAAAGTACTGTCTGTGCTGAAATTCACCCTTAAAATTGACAAACTGACCACCTGATTGTTCCCAAATAAGCTCCATTTCAACACAGCATTAACAAAAGAATTTTGTATAGTCAAACAGACTGCAGGCTGGTCTCCACTGGAGAACATACAACGGCATAGCTACATCTCTCAGGAGTGTGAAAAATCCACACCCCCGAGAGACCTAAACATACCGACCTAACCCCTGGTGTAGACAGTGCTAGATCTATGGAAGTATTTGTCTGTTGGCCAAATTCTCCTGCCTTTTGGGGAGGAGAATTACCAATGCCGACAGAAGAACCTCTCCCATCAATGGAAGTATTGTCTACACTGCGTGTTGCAGATGTGCTGCCGTAGCATTTTAAGTATAGACATACCTGTGTCTCTAGGACCCGTGTCTTTAAGACCTCATTCAATATCAGGAAATAATTGGCTTTCAGTTAACCTGTGCTGCACACCGGATCTTTGAGCTAAGAATTTCATGGTCTTTATCTAGGAGCATAGCAAACATTCCACTCATCAGACAAAACCAAGCCCGCAAAAACATGGCCAATCAAGCAATAAAAAGTTAAAAACGTACTTTAAAGTGATTATCCACACCTCTGTAAATAGACAACTTATCTGGCTAGTTATATCGCCTTTGAAAGACATTCTGTTAGGAAAATGGGAATTGATTAGCAGAGAAGCACCTCATCAGAAGTTTAGGTTGAAGCGATATCACTTCAGATGACCTCAGCAGGCTCTCCTTGTCCTGATTAATACCAAAAGTAGTAAATCTCAGAGGTTGGAATATCTATAGGATGACCACGGGCCACGCATCACCACCTTGATCATCATCAAGGAACAAACAAGGGAGGACTCAAAACTAAAATCTAGACAAACTTGTACAAAACATCAGTTGAAAAGCCTCATATAACATTGGATTGTGATGACTATGTTCAGAGGAATATGCAAGACATGTAGGTTGCTTAAGACATGAGGTTTTTAAATCTCAGTATTTTGCTAATTCCAATTCCAGAGATCATTTAAAAACAAACACACACACGACTGAAGTTCAGCTTCAAGACTCTGTACATACACTATCAATTTTCCAAGATAACTACTCAGGATAGTGGCGGCTTGTAACTTTTGTCCTTTGACCCCACAGTAATGAAGTTTAACTTAAAATTTGTGTGTTTTTGTTTCGCTTTGGTACAAGATTAAAACCAAAACCAAGAAGCTTCTGCCTCCATTGGTGAACAATACAGGAAAAATCATACAGTGTACACATACTTAAGAGGAAAAAAATGCAGGAAAGAGTATTTCAGGTTTGTGCATGCCAGAGTACAGGGTTTCAGGTCATCATTTATTTGGGCACTGTAACTCCTTATGAATTTACAAAATGGCTCAAAACCCCACCACCACCAATGGATTCAAATGCCTCTCAGACTTCAGTGGGACAGGGGAACACACAGGAGCTACCAAATGTAATGTACTTTTTTCATTCAAGTGTTATGGAACTATATTTAAAGTTAGCATTTAACAGTACACCAAAAATACTGAAGTAGTGCTATAAATTAAACGGGCAGGTTTTTAAAATCAGGTCCTCTGATTACCATCTTGCTGATCTCCCACACAATTTATGAGAATTTTAGCACCCAATAGTTTACACATGATTAAAGTTGGAGACCAAGACAACCATTGGGGGGGAGGGATAGCTCACTGGTTTGAGCATTGGCCTGCTAAACACAGGGTTGTAAATTCAATCCTTGAGGGGGCCATTTAGGGATCTGGGGCAAAAAACTATCTGGGGATTGGTCCTGCTCTGAGCAGGGGGCTGGACTAGATGACCTCCTGAGGTCCCTTCCAACCCTATTCTATGATTTAAAATATATATATATATAAATAAAAGTTAGGTGTTCGTGGGAACTCACTGGGTGCTCAGTACTTTTTGAAAAGTCAAGCCACTTATTTAGGTGTCTAAATATGGACACAGAAGCATTACTCTAGGGCACCCATGTTTGAAAACTTTAGCCTACTTTTATTAAGCAGTTTTAAAGCTGGCTTTGCAAGCTTGCAGTGCGTTGTGTTAGTTCTACTACTCCTAATATTTCTCTAGAAAGTTGTTACTAATAATCAAGTCTAATTTAAACACATGGGGTGGGGGGGGGGGGGAGATCTGGGAAAGAATGGGAAGAAGCAAGCTGATACTTGCAATGACATAACTTTAAAGTCAAGTGTGTCATGACCTGCCAAGCTTTACAATGAATTCCAGCTTTACAATGGTATAAACAAAGCATCTGCTTCTTGCCCTGGTGATCTGTACATTATTTTACTTTAAAACCATTGTTGGTCCCTCAGGCTAACTGTGTTTTTTTGGTATTGGTCCAGGACTATATAAATAACAAGACCCAGGCCTAGCACAAGTCTAATTGTCTCTCTGTGGCTTATCAAGCATAAGTAATGAATAAGTTCTCAATACGGTTATAACATATTTGATTAAACTTCCTGCTCCAAAAAATCTTTCCCTTGATTTTTATCCCACCCATTGTTGTACCAGTTGCTGTCAGTCTGCCCCTGCTACTACAGGAGGAGAGAAGAGAGAGAATCCCAGCAAGATTTCTCTTCTAAATGACAACAGCCTTGAATTTGCAGAGGAAAAGGACAAGTGTCCAGAAATCAATGGCAAATTTCTCTCTCGTTTAAAGGGAGGTGGGAAAAGGAACAATTTTAAAGTTAAGATTCTTGATATATATATGGAAATCTGGATTCAGGCTTTTCAGGCTGTGGAGGCAGAGAATTTAGGAGTTTTTTCCCCAAGGGGTAGTCTTACACTGCAACAGGAAATACAGAGTTCTGGAAAGACAGACAGACAGACAGACAGACAGGAGGGTTGCTAGATATGGATGGGATAAAGAATGTCTCTTCTTGACAGTGAACAGGAAGACCAAAGCAAGCTTCACACTTAAAAAAAAAATTTTTTTTTTACAATGCTACATTAGAAAAATGTTGTGTCTCCTCACTAAGTGAAAGCAACTACTGCAGTGTTCATTCCTTTCCAAGTGCCAACAATTAAACTGTACTGGTGGAAGAAAAAGTGGGAAATTATAAGAAAAGGTCTAGTGCACGTAAGGACACAGAATGCAAACGAATGAACGGAGAGATCTTCTCAAGATCAACAAGAATGCAGTAGGACTCTAAAACTCAAATTTTACCATTAAAAAAAATGAAATGTCAAACAGCTTGTATAAACAGCATATATACAGCCAGAGTGTCAACAGAATTAGGTTCATATAGTGCATGTCATACTGAAAAACACCCCAAAGTGCTTTACAGAACAGCAAGCTAAAGTATCACTAGTACAATGACAGTGTAGGTAAAGTACTGGGTATAGCAGTTGCATGCTCAAAATAGCTCAGTAAGCCTTGGACATATCAATTGAGGAATTGCTGGCTGGCAAACTGGTCATTCTTCCTCTCTATTCTTTGAGTAATGGGGATTTCTGAACTTTCACCCAGATTTTGGAGGAGTGTTAGCATTGGAAGTAAGCCAAAGTCCCAATTAGATAACTGTTTTCTTTTGGAAGGGGAGTGGAAATTAAAAGTGACTAACCAGTCAGTATTATTAGTCATGAGGAGAATAACTAACTTTATCCCAGCTCATACATCAACCCTTCCTAAAATACTCTGGAGAGAAGTTTATGGAATCTACCCAAAACAGGAAAGGGGGGTGGGGGGGGGGGGAAAAAGGTTTTGTTCTGAAAAATAAAAAAAAAAGAAATTCCTCTAAAGTGCGAATAAAAAAAAAAAAAAAAAAACTAGAAAAAACACTTTGCTATAAACTGAGACTATTCAAAATGCTAGTTGTCATGGAAACTGCTCAACAAGGGTCAGCCAGCCTCACCTTTGGCTGCAAGGATCATTTGTCAATGCCAAACCATTGCAAACATGCACACAATACTCACCCTCCAAATCTTTTCCGTTCTGGCCAGCGCGCTAATCTAACATACCAGAAAAATAAGGATCTCTGCTTCTCAGAGGTATTCCTTTCAGTATGAAACAATTTATTATTTAGTTTTGGAATTATCATGATTCTTGCTCAGATCACCAATGAGATAAAATTGCCTTGAAAGAAAGAAGCATTGTCTCTCTCTTCATTTTCACTACTCTTTAACTGGAAATCATCTTTTTTCCCAGCAAAGTCAAAAACGTTAAAGTTTCAGCGGAGGTTTTGAAATGTAATTATTCAGCATTTTTTTGGTTCTTTCAGCACAACTGAAATTTACTGAATGGATCTGGCTCACAGGGGAAAATTGATTTTTTTAAGTCACTGTGTTCAGTTTCACTCTTTCCATGACAAACACATTTAACAGGCCAACTGCAGAGTAAAAATGGAAAATCAATTTATTTCACTAATATCAGTAAGCAGCCTAAAAGAGGAAGTCTACACATAAACAAGAACAGATTTACTTCTTTTAGATCCTTGGGAATCCTGCTGGCCTGCTCTTTTTAACTGTGATACCCCGCAAAATTCACAATTTTGACATTTCACAACTACCAAAGCAATCGGCGGACACTTGGAGCTGGCCCTGTAGGGCTCAGGAAAGTCCTGTCTCCCTCACCCACAGCAGCCCCAAGTCTCTGTCACCTTCCCCACCTCAAAGAAAGCGCACGATTGTCAAAGATACCTTTTTATTATTATATAATCTCTGAGCAAAGCATAACAACTTTGAAAGCTGGACCATACCCAACACACAGGCCTTCCCTGTTTCCCTTTGGTCCTATCCTTCCCCAGCAAAAGTCTCTTAGCAGCTGTGATTTACCAGTATGATGCATACTGGGGCATTAGCTCAGCACAGCAGGACGTCCTAGAATGTGAAACAAGGCTTGAGGTATATACATTTTTACTTTGTTTTGCACTGACTACTCTAATACTGTTTAGCAGAGGGGTATACAGCACGTATTGACCAAGGAAATGGATTTTCCATTTTTAATTTCCATTCTACCTCTTAAAAGGTGGGCCCGTTATTTTGGAAGATTCAGAGAGCATAAACAGGCAGAGTCATAGAGTTTAAGACCAGAGAGACCACCGGATCATCTCATCTGATCTCCTATATATCAGAGGCCACAAAACACCATCCAGCCACCTCCACACCAAACCACCATAATTAGACCAAAGTATTATAGCCCTCAGGAGACTAAATTATTGTGTGCCACAGGCAGAGAACAAGAGGGACACACAACTTGATATCGATATGATCATCCAAGTGTCTCTGCTGCACATACTCTACATATTACTAGCACAATGCTTTAAAGTGATTCTTAGTAAATAAAACCACTGATATGAAGAGCTATGCTGTATGTCTGAACAGGAGCACACTAAGGGTTCAGTGTCTCATGTTCTTATGGAGAGAATGGAGTAAAAATTGACTCATTATGAACCAGGCAATGAAATAAGCTGATAAATGTATGGCTGTGAATACCAGATTCCAATAACAGAGTTTAAATCATTATATGAGATTTTTATTTATGAAAATAAATTCTCTTCGTACACTTGCCTCAGATAATTTATTTTGACAGGCAATAAAATCATCATTAGCTTGTTCATCATGGTAAGGGTGGGAAAGTACATTTTTTGCATGGGCTGGCAATTCCTCATGACAATTTTGCAAGGTTGCTTTGGAATCTTTATGCTTTTTTGCTCTTCTATGTACAAGAGGCAATTTATTTTAATAAGGTTCTCACAGACACATCTAGCCATGTTAAACAATCAGGAGAAGGAGTGAAATAGGATGAGATAAGAGGAAACACTGAAGAGCAGCTACAAGTCCTAGAAAATGTCTTAAATTAAATATAAAAGGGTATTCATATAAAGTACGTTAATAAAAAACATTTTTTTCAAATTATTCTATTTAAAATTAATTCTGCCTGTATCATTTTATGGTTTTTTTCCCCCCTCTTGCTACCTTTTCTGGGGCGAGAGAGTCTGCATGAAAAAAGGCTCTTTGTTTTACAAAAGTTAATTTGATCCTGATACTTATTCTTCAGCTGTTTGACATCAGGATCATTATAGCAATCCGATCCAATGTTAAATTTATTTAGATTTTCAAACTAAACATCGCTTGATTTTCAGGGAGGGATGTTGATCAGTCATATTTCCAAACAAGTCAGCTAGACCTCTGGGTGCTCAACACCTCTGGAAATAATGCCACTTTTATTTTAGTGCCTAAATATAAATTCAGGTGCCTAACTTTCGGCACATGAGTTTGAAAGTTTCAGCCTATGATGTTAGGTATGCATAGGGTAGGATAAGTAGCAGCATTAAAGAGATATTTTAATTTGTTGGATCTCACTAATCAAGAAGGGATGAAAATATTTAATGTACAATAACAGAAGTGCTTTACAGACATTAATTAATTGAGGCCAGGTCTACACTACAGACTTATATCGGTATAACTATGTTGCTCAGGGGTGTGAAAAGTCCATATCCCTGAGCGACACAGTTATTCCAACCTAACCCCTGGTGTACACAGGGCTATGTTGGTGGGAGAGCTTCTCCGTCAATGTAGCTGCCACCTCTCAGGGAGGTGGATTAACTATACCAATGGGAGAAGCTCTCCCATCAGCATAGGAGTGTCTTCACTTAAGCGCTACAGTGGTGCAGCTGCGCCTATGCAGCGTTTTAGGTGTAGATCTGCCCTAAGAAGCAATATACGAGGTAGCTGTTACCTCCCTTTTTAGAGATGAGAAAACCAAGGCTCAAAATGCTTGCCCAATGCCACACAGTCAACCAGTGGCGGTGGTGGGACTACACCCCAAATATTTTGTCTCCAGTACCTATTCTTTAGCCATGAGACCATGCCTTCTCTTTTAAAAAAAATAGAGAGATGAGCCTATTAATAGAACACAATTAGAAATTTTCCAGACATATGCAAGTCTTCAGGGATCATTCCCTATAATTTATATCTGTACTGGAAAAGCATAAATCATTCCATCATACTATTTCCCATAATAATATTTCCAACTCATGAGCCCCTTCATATGCATTATCAAATGAAATGGACAAACACCTTACTTGCAGAAACTACGTAAAGTTTATTCCTAAATAAAACAAATCCTACCATCTTTGCAGGTCTTTCCATTCTCAAGGAGTTTCACACCAGTGGGACAAGCACACTGATAAGAAGGCTTGATAGGAGACATCAAACACAAGTGGGAGCAGCCACCATTATTACTTCCACATGGGTTTGTAGCTGTTGAATATAAATCACACAGATTAATGTTTTTGATAATAAATGACCTCATCTCATGTGTCAGGAGGCATAAGGCATTTTGCGTTGTAAGAGTCTGTGATAGGAAAGTGGATAAAGGAGGAAATAATAAACACAGAACAAGTAAAAGTTAATTCAAAGCATTAAGAGTGGGTAATTATTGTACCCAACTGCAAAGACATTGCATATTTCCTTTCTTGAAAATGTGCATTTGGCTCTACATAGGATTCATGTTTCATCTGTGCTCTTATCAGTTTCACAAACTGCTCAGCACCAAAACAAGCAGCAGCATGTACAAAAATACAAAATGCAAGCAAGATAAATTCATTAAAAGGTTAAGATGGTGGCTATCCTACAGAGCTAGTCGTGTTTAACACCATTAGCCACATTAACAATAGTTTCCATTCAGGAACATGGACTTCTCAGGTAATGCTCAAGAGAGAAAAAACACAAGTCCCCTATTGCTTAAATCTCCAGCACATGGACCCCTTAAAAATAAATAAATAAAAAGGAATGCTGCACGGCATCACTATGGCTGGCAAGAGGAGGAGGAGGGGTGAGATGTTTTATTAATGTTAAAGAACAACGTAAAGAATATTCAGTGTCCCTTTGGGTCTATTCCCAAATCCCCTGCTTTGGAAACTGCTGCATCATAAAGCAAATGGAGCCATCCGGCTCCCTCGCAATTTCCTCCTGTCTCCAAACAGAAAGGCATATCAGACTTTTACAGATCAGTTCCAACCTGCAGCTAGAAAAGAAAGCAAGACTCCTTACCATTTGGCTGCCTCTGTTGGCTGAAAACATGGATATCCATGGGAGAGAAAATGTTGGAATGTATTTCACGCAGGTCCTCCCCAGAGTACTTGTTGCAGGCCAAGATAGAATGAGTGTTCCAGTCAGTCCAGTACAATGTGTCCCCAAACAAAGTCAAAGCAAAAGGATGTGGAAGGGATCCTTTAACCACTGCTTGCCTAATAGGGTACAAGGAGGAAAACACGTGCACATATAATTAAAAGTATGCTTTTGTTTTTAATTTTATGTTTAAGTAGTGTAGTATTTATGAAAAGGTGTTACATTGATAGCACTGCTGACCAAAGCCTTCTGTTTATCCATGGAAAAGCGCATTAGCAACGGAGGGCAATTCACTTTCTATTGGCCAATCCGTTGATGCCAGAATGCCAACAGATGCCAGCTGTGAGGGGTCTATAGCTCTACTAACAAAGCACTATAAAAGTGCCAAGGAGTAGTTACCTTTTCAAAGTGCTGCACAAACATTAGAGTCATATTGAGATTACCAACTCATTTCGCACTTGCCAAACTACTGATAAATAATTCAAGTCACTTCCAACCTTGACACAAATTTAGAACTGCAAGGGTTTGTGATCTATTACCAACCCTCTGGGCCAACCATCTCTTCCAGCTTTACTATTATTTTCAACCATTAGAAGAATAGCTATAGTATCAAAAATTTAAATATTACAAAGTGTTTAAATACCAGAGTTCTTTTTATCATCATTTATTACACTAGAGTGTTTTAATATTTATTAAAAGCAAGGACATTAAGAATCTCATCTACTGGCCACATTGCTATGATATCTCTTCTCATCCCGGTTTCCCCTTTTATGTGGTTCTTATATATCCCCAAAATGCAATTCAAACTTTGTGGAAGACAACACGTTCAAATTTCTGCTATGTTGAAATCAGTCATTATGAATCTGGCCTCATGGGATTCAAACGGAGTCATTTGCGGTCTTTTTTTTTTTTTTAAGCAGCTTGTTCTACCTCACACATATGAAACACTGTAGCTGACTTCCAAACACCCCTTTAGCCAGTGTTCTGTTCTGAATGTTATCAATTTTTAATACCTCTATGTTTTTGCCATTCCTTCCTTCCTTCCTTCGTTGGTGTCACTATCTAGCTTCTGCTTAGAAAATGGATGAAGTGGGACTTAACAAAAATGTATACAGGTCTGTCGCATCTTAGGTGCATTTAACGTGCGATTTCAGCTTTACGCGGTCGGCAAAAACAAAACAAAAAACAAAAACAAAAACAAGAGAAAAATAATTTAAATACTGTTTCTGTAGTGCAGGCGATTCTGCCCGCCATTACATTCAATGTAATTTTGACTATACACGATTTTCGCTCTAGGCGCTGACTGCGGAACGTAACCCCAGCGTAAGATGAGACAGACCTGTATACATTTCCACTAGACATTCAGTTGCTGGCACAGGTCAAACTCATTTTGGCAAACTGCATTTACTTAAGAGGACTACTAAAGTAAGGCAGACATTCTAAAAGATAGTTATTGAACCCCACTTCCCATGAATTCTGGAAACACATTCCTGACCAAAGATTAGGGCTTGAGGTACAGGTTCAGTTTCTTTGGGATCAGGATTTGTAAGATGTACAATGACCAGCCAGCCTCATTTCAAAGTCTTTTCTTGAGTGGAAAGGAGTTGCATAACTTGGAGAAATATCCATACACTCCCTCGTACAAAAGAGTCAACAACTGAATGAGGGACAACAATACTCTCACTTTTCTGATCAATGTTAAAAGCTAAGCAGCAGGCCAGTATTGTGAAGTATGAACCTGTACTGGACTGGTGGCTCTTTGGATAAAGGATGTTGCAATTTCTAGTACTTTCACTCTAGCACATTTAATTATCAATGAACTGTCTTTTAAAAACTGCTACTCTTCAATTTGCTAGAAAAACAAGCTGATTCATTTAATGGTCATGTTTATGTTCCAACACCACACTAAATAAAATCTTCTATTTCCTTATATTTTGCAATAGGATCTCAGGTATCAAATCATAACTGCTCTTTTACATGCCTCCATCTGAGTCAGACAGGTATATATTAGCACCTAATTAAAATGAGGAAACTCAAGTTCACACATTGTGAGAAACTATTATAATGTAGCTTTCAGTTGAAATCCAACATTGTGACAATGAAGCTTGACCTACTAGGTACTCCCAGAATAATGGAGTTTTAAAAAGTATGTGCCAAATAGCCATTAAAAAGCTTTCAAGTTTGCATAATTAGCCACAGGTTATAACAGGGGTAGGCAACCTATGGCACGCGAGCTGATTTTCAGTGGCACTCACACTGCCCGGTCCTGGCCACCGGTCCGGGGAGCTCTGCATTTTAATTTAATTTTAAATGAACTGTCTTAAACATTTTAAAAACCTTATTTACTTTTAGTTTAGTTATATATTATAGACTTATAGAAAGAGACCTTCTAAAAACGTTAAAATGTATTACTGGCACGCGAAACCTTAAATTAGAGTGAATAAATGAAGACTCGGCACACCACTTCTGAAAGGTTGTCAACCCCTGGGTTATAACAACAGGACCAGAATTTGTCCAAGTCTTTTAACACATCACATGATAATTAAAAACAGCAGAATTCCAAGGTCTCAACGATTACCAACCCTCTCACTGCCCCTCCCTTCCGCTCCCCCTCCCCCCCCAAAACCCAGTGGTCTGAACACCCAAGGTCAGATTTTTCAAGAGTGCTCAGCGTGCACCTACAACTCAAGCCATATTTTTCAAAAGAGCTCAGTTCCCATTTAAAGTGCCCAGATTTTTAAACATCCTCAGGCCCCAAGAGCCCTCAAAGAGAACATGTCATTGAGAACAATGGAAGATGCTGGGTGCAGAGCACTTTTGAAAATCTAACCGTTAACATGCAATGCATAAAGTGAATTGTGATCCTTATCCAAGCCTGACCCTATCTGGAAAGGTTCATGAAGAATAGGAAGCTACTTCACTTGATTGCTCTATCAGTTATGTGGTTATACTTAAGTGTGTGTTATTTTTTCTGTAGATAAAAGGACAGGTCATAGTGAAAAAGTCTTTCAACCTAAGTACACAGGTACTGGTTTCTGGTACTTCATTAAGCTAAGTAATAATATAACACTATGATCCAATTCATGTAGTTTTCTGGACAGCAATTAGGAGATGTGGTGATAGTTCATTTTCAATCACCTAATCTAAATGGCATTTTATTCTCTCGAAAGACGTTCTATGGGCCATATTAGCAAGTTTGCTGATGAGTCGCTAGACAATTTGCATCAACAATGAAGTTGAGCTCCACTAAACAGACCTTGCCAGCTCTAGATTCTAATCAGTTGGAGCTTTTTTTTTTTTTTTTTTGGGGTGGAGAGGGCGGAGAGTGGAACCACAGAAAGCAGGGAAAGGAAGAGAAGTAAAGTAAAACAAGCAATACTCCCTCTCTGGCTGCTATAACGCAATTTTGTTAAGTATGATCTGCATGAAGGGCTGCAAAGTTTTGGTGGGAGAAGGGGAGAAACTGGAAGGAAATAATTTTTATCCTGATTTACTAATTATGAAAGGTGCCAGAGTGACAGTACTTAAGAGTGATGTTGTATATTGAGCTACTGCATATGGGTAACAGCAGTGCAAGTTTCCCACAAAAGTCCTGCCAATGTGCTTAACCACTGATGCAAACGAACCCCACTTAAGGGTAAAAGGGGAATTGGGTCTCCACCCCTCTAGTGAGACTGCCATCAAGGGCACCAATTATGAGGTAGCTGGTGTAACTGGATTGACAAGATCTGACAGCTGGCTGGTGGCAACTACTTTCAATCATTAAATTATCAGCCCATGCCCGATTTGAACAAGTGATGTGAAGGCAAGATACTGTATATCCCATTATCATTCTACCAAGCTATTCAGTTCCCTCAAAGGCTTACAGTTTAAGTGTCATAGTCAAATTACTACTTCTAGTCACAGATATCAACAGGAATAAGAGCGGGAGAGTTGGAGATAAGAGGGCAGTTTTATTAGCCCTGCAGACCTCATGGAAGTTTCTCAATCAACACATAATCATCAGATAAAAATATTTAATGGCTCTAAGAGAATAACTGGAGGTTCAGTCAAAATTAACATGAAAAATGTAACCACACGATTAAACTTCAAAAGCTGGAGGTAGTTTCAGGGTGGATTAATTAAAATCACCTATTTTAATCATGATTTAAATCAGCAAGCAGGAAACCCTGATCTGAATCACTGATTTTAATCTTGCTTTGCATTTGTACTTCTTAGTTATTTTCCTAAAGAAGGTTAATTTTCATTGGTTGGTGATCATTAAAACATGATGATCCTCAACTAAATATAACCATTACAGTAAATCTGATCTTTCTTTTTGCTAACCAGAAGGGTCTACCACATCTATAGACATTTATTTAAAGCAATTATAAAGTCTAACTTACACATATTCAGATTCTTAATTTTTCCTAATTCTTAATGTTTACATTTTTATATTGTCAGAAAATGGTGTGATGCATTTATTACTTAGGACGTGATTAATTTTTTTTTACTTATGATTTGTGACAAGCTCTATTCGGAGGGAAATTCAAACAATTAAAAATGCACAAAACCAGCATTTTTAAATTATTTTAATTGGGTAAATAAAGGAGGTTTATCAAAACATGTTTTGCATTTAAAACTAATCAATGTATTGAGAAAGGAAGTAACATCTCTAGTTAACAAACTGAACTGACTTTTCCTGGTCACCATTGTCCTTCAAAATTTTAGAACTAGATCTCATCTTCTCAAACCCAGTTTTTATTCACAGATTGGAGGAGGAAATAAAGTTTTCTGTTTTTTCAACTCCCATTTGTTTCTTAATTTTGAATGGTCTAGTCACTGCACTGAAATAGCTGAATAAGCAGAAATGAAGAAAATATTCTCTCTGAACCTGCAGAAGAGGCTATTGCTACTAAAAGTCATTTTAGCACTTCAACTAACTCTGGTTCCAAGTGCTCAGCCAGTGACTTCCACCAGCTCAGTGGTTTGACTTCCTTTAACACTTGGCAGCAAATATGTACTGCTTAATGTTTTTTAAATTTAAATTTTAAAATTACTGTAATAGATTATAGTAAGCTTAGGCCTTACCATAGGTTCTCCAATTTAATTGTAAATAGATTTAAAAAAAAAAAAAAAA